AGGCTCCGGGGGGTTGCTCCCAGCGGGGATCCCGGGGCTTCCCCGCATGGCTCCCCAGCCACGTGCGCCTGGGACGGGGCCAGCCCAGGAAAGGGACTTCCTGGCCGCCCTTCTCCCAGGGGGCGGGGCACCCGGGCGCAGGGCCAATGAGGAGCCCTGCGAGGGGGCAAGTCCCATGAGAGAGAGAGAGAGAGAGAGAGACAGAAGTGCAAGTGCAAGTGCCTCTGTCTCTGTCTCTCTCTCTCTCTCTCATGGGACTTGCCGGAGGGCCGTGGGAGGGCCGCATTTACATAGAGCAGGGAGGGCTGTTCGAGGGCCGGATTAAACCGGAACGCGGGCCGCAAATGGCCCGCGGGCCGGACTTTGGACATGTCTGCTCTATGTAGAGTTTGGCAATCTTATTCATTTGAGGGGGTTGAATCAGTAGGGCAATGTAAAATTGGTCTCTGTGGTTGGGTAGACTGTTTAGTAATGGGAGAGTAAATGTATTGCAGATATCTTTGTAAAAATGATTAAGAGAGAAGGATGTGCTCGGTGGTGTTCTGAAAGGCTACAGAAATGCCGGGAAGGCGTGCGTAGTGTGCTTTGGTGATGTGCATCCATTATATGCTGCTGAAGAAGCGTACAGGCTGGCTTGTGTTCCTCTGGTTATGGTAGATGAGCTCAGATTTTCAGTACTGTATTACCAAAGTTATCAATTAATTTTTTGCCTGCTTCTGTTTCTTAGATATAATAGTGCACTATTTAAAATTACTCACATTATAAAAATGTTTTTGAAATATTTTAAAGAAAGTTTTGCACAATCTATTTATTTTGCACAATGTTTAACTTTTCCTTCGATTTTTATTTAGTGAATCGCTCTTTATATCTCCTCTAATACAGGAACTATCCATCTCCTCCACGTTCACCTAAAACTCCTTGCACAGCTATTGACATCCAATGCAACAATGGTGCCATTTTTGTGGCTGGTGAGAACAAATTTAGTAGAGATTAATAAGGATTACTCCTTTTTTAAAAGATTACTGAGCAATTGTGCCCTCTGCTTAATACGAAAAGGCTACTCATATGATTATATAAACAGTTTTGTTCTACGGGGAAGTATGATGGTACAGCACAAGTCAGACATTGAGAAAGTGTTAAAAATGATGTGTTTTTTTCAGTGATATTCATCTGCATTGAAGAAAATTGATATTAGAATATATTAAATTGACTTCAAATGAGGATTTGTTTTTCAAATCACAGCCTATTTTTGATTAAAATGGGTTATTAGGAAGTAGTATTTATATTTGGCAGTTTTTCTTGGGAAAGGACTATACTCAGTTGACAATATGTTCTGTTGAAGTCACTGGAAAAGCATCTTGGAAAATAATCTGGGTTCAGAATGATTAGATGAAATACAAATATTGTTTTTCATCAAAGTTGTTTTTCATCAAAGTATTGATACTTTCATCAAGCAGAAAAAAAACCCTTAACATGTGATGTGCTGTATATCACAATAGATCAGTGTTTCTCAACCTTGACAATTTTAAGGCATGTGGACTTCAACTCCCAGAATTCCACAGCCAGCATTGCTGGCTGTGGAATTCTGGGAGTTGAAGTCCACATGCCTTAAAATTGTCAAGGTTGAGAAACACTGCAATAGATCAACCAGCTGAAAGATCTGTTTTCGAAGTAAACTTACGCTAGGGCCTTTGCTGCGCAAGGCACGAGGAAAAAGCAGTTTAAGGAGCAATGCTTGAAGGATCTTCTAATACATACTTTATGATAGTGATTTCCTTTCTTGGTTTCTAGTAAAATGCTTTTATTTGTAATACGTTTGCTGAACTAAGAGTTAATAAATATCGTAGCACATTTTTTCTGTTCTCTGTTTCTNCAATAAATATTCAAGAACTCTACCTCAGACGCCCTGGATTATAGATGGAGAGAGGAAGATGGAATCATCTGTAGAAGAATTGATCTTGGAGCATCTCATGGCTGCCTTCAAAGCAGATAGTGAGTGTTTGCACACATACGTTTATTTACGTTACTTAAAATAAGCTGTGTACACACTGATGAAAAAAATGCAGACAAATTGTGCAAGCAAGTAACCCACCATCTGTTTAATGTAGAGCTAAACTGATTTGTCTAGGTCATGTTGAATTGCTTGGTTTGCATATGGATTTTTAGCTCATGTTCTATTTCTGACAACTGCATCCCTCTCATATTAGTGCCTCAGCAAATTTGGTTAATGTTTCTTTCTCCTGTTTTTAAGGTTTTAATTTTTCATCCTCTGGAAGGGAAGATGTGGATGTGAGAACATTAGGCAGTGGTAAGTTCAACACTTGAAAATACCCTAAATGGGAGATACCAATTGATGATCCCTTGACCAAAAAAAAAAGCCATTTCTGAGATCAAGGGAGTTGGAAGGGGCCACTTAGGCCATGGAGCCCACTTAGGCCATGGAGCCCACTGTTCAATGTAGAAGTGATTAACAAAATCAGTATTTTTCATTGAAACTGCAACTTGGAAGTTCTGTCCAGCAATTAGAAGTTAACATTTTGAAGGGTTTTGTTAATATTTATATTTCTGAATACAAAGAATCTGCTATATTTTCTTGCATTTCTTGTTCTATTCCTGTTGAAAAATGGAATTGACTGCAATCGTGTGGATAGCATTTCTAAAGAAATTTCATTATGAGAAAACTTACGACTTAAGAACATTTATGTATAAAAGATCTTCATTTAAACGTTATTTATGTAATTGAACAACAACAAAAGGTGATGTAATTGAACAACAACAAAAACTATGAAAATTTTACTGTGAAATAACTTACTCAGTTAACAAATAAATTAACAAAATTCGCCAAACATGTTTTGTGGTCCTGTAGCCACATAATTATTTTTGTCTTGTTTGTCCAGAGCACATTGTTCCAGAAGTCCTGGTCTTTGCCTAGGTGTTTATAAGCAAACTTTCGTCTTGCCCTGATATTTTTTTTTTCTGGACAGCAAAAACTTTCTCTTGGCACAGCTCCCATGTAGTTTTAATTTGTGCAATTTCTTTCTAATGGAAATCTCATGCACTTTGACATTGATTGTAGCAAGAGGTACCTGAAGCTCCTGTGATGAAATCCTAGGATTCTGCTGTAGGGTTGAATTTACGGGGCAGCCTGGCCTGGGCAAGTAGGCAGCTGTTTGAAATATTTTCCACTTGTAGATGATCTTCTGGACAGTGGAATTATTGATGTCCATTTGGTTAGTGATCCTTTGAAATCCCTTCCCAGCCATTAGGCATTTATAATTAAGTAAAGAGTAAATTAAACTAATGTCTGAGGTTTAAGTAAAACTAGTTCCTTCCGGGTTCTCTGTAATGATGTTCTAATCATTTGCAACTGATCTGGTGCAACTGATTTTAATTTTTGGTATTTGAGGTAAGTATGTACTAAGTTTTTCCCTTTGTGAACTTACATCTTGATATAATTTTATATAGTTTGTTTAAAATGGACTTTTTTCAATTGTCAATTTCCTTTTTCCCCCATGTCTAAATCTGAAAACTAGTTTATAATTTTATATTTGTTTTCTTCTCACCCTCCTTTCTTGATTGCCACCATCATGATTACACCATTGTTCATAGGAAGACCCTTTGCAGTTGAGCTAGTTAATCCTCGAAAAGTCCAGTTGGCTGCAGTAGAAATGAAGGCGCTTCAACAGGTATAATATTTGAAAGTTGACCTGTAACCATTGTCATGTAGATTGGCATGAAGGGAGGCAACCAGAGATTTCCTTGCAAAAGGTTGAATTTACCTATAAAGCTAAATTGCTTGGGGACTAATATGATCTTCTCCACTTGGAGGGTATTAAACAGTGGGCAGATGAAAAATCAGCCCTAAGATCCATGGAGAAGAGAAAACTATCATAGCAATTTTACACATCGTCAGCTTAATGTCGATGTATATATCCTGCCCTAGCATTTAAGTTATATATACACACTGCTGATTTCATAATTCATATGGCAAGAATTAATTGATGAAATTCAGGAATATACATGGTACTCCTTGTTTAGCTGTAAGGGTATAGTGCTTTAACTACCCATTTTTAAAAGAAATTGTTTTTACTATCAGATTTCAATTGAAAAATAATCACATATTTTTTATTTTTAAAAAACACTTTTTAGAGGATCAACAGTTCTTCAGACAAAGTCCAAGTTCGTGATTTACAGCTTGTCAACAGGTTAGTTGACCTTGTTAGATAAAACTTTTTAAAACAGGACTTTTTTTAAAAAAAAAAATCTCAACCTTAGTCTCTTTTTTTAGCATATTTCCATGGAAAATGGAATCACCTCATTTTTCCTGGCTCTGACATAATCTGGAAAATTTACTGAAATCAGCAGAAGAGGCTCCTTTAAAGGAGTCGATCGATCTGTGAAATGGGAGGGGCTTCTGTCCTGAGGTTTCCAGGCAGTGGAATGTGTTCTCTGAAGTAGTATATTGGATACACACTCCTCAGTGGGGAGTAGGGAAATTGTAGAAATACGTCTTTTTCCAAACTTTTAATGGCTAAACTGATTTCAGTTGTCCTGATTTTAGTTTTGATTCTGCTATTTTGACTAATTGAGTTTTGTTTTCTTCTTATTAATTGCCTTCCATGCTTATATGTGAATAATGATTATAAATTTAATAATAATAAGAAAAGAATAACAAACCTATAACACAAGATCATAAAAAGGTCTAAAATGTATTTGATCACAAGCATGAGTTGGGAGATCTGCTTCTCTTTTTCAGTTGATCAGCATATTTTATTGATTTATTGATCAAGTAACTTGTCTCAAAGGTCCTTATATTACAGATTGCAGATTTTTGGGAATCCTCTGCAACTGCAGATTTTCTACTTTTGACATCAGGGATATGCGGCAGGATGGAGGAGGAGATATTTTTCCCATCTAATATCTGATGAGACATCTTCTGCCCAGCAGAAGTTTGTGGCTGTTCTAATTTGTTTGTTTTTATTTCAGAGAGGCCATTGTACATATGAAAGAAGGGGAAGAAGAGAAGACCAAGTCCTACAGTGCCTTAATATGGACAGAGAAAGTGATCCAAAAGGAAGACATCACATTTCTAGACTCAATGAAGGTTGCATGTCTGGGGTGGTATTTATCATTTGTTTGCTCGCTTTTAAATCCTTTACAAGATTTTACAAGCCCCATGTTTAACTTTCATCAAACGCAAGATGAAAATAACTGTTCCTTTTTTTTAACGGTAGACCACAGAATTCATGCAATGGCTTTGAGTATAATATTTTCAGAAGCGTGACACTGACAGTATAGAAATTACTTTCTATAAGAAGTTTCTATGCAGATGGATAATGTATAAACGATACATTATGTTGGGTTATTTAATGAACAAGTTAGTCTAGGATGAGAGCTGTTATAATCAAGCTGTTATAACCAAGCCATCACTGAGCCGTAAAAGGCATTGGATATATTTGCTTGTTCTGTCCTTTGAAACAGCCATTTTCTGTAGAAATACTTCTGAAATAAATAAGAATAATATATATCCATCTTTCTATAAGTAACTGTCAGACATAGAACCATAATACAGGAAGGTTTTTTATTCTTGTCAACCATAACGATCTAGTCTATTCTTGTCAACCTAGTGGATGATCACTTGACTATGAGCCAGCAGTGTGCAGCAGCAGCCAAAAAAGCTAATACAATCCTGGGTTGTATAAACAGAGGCATAGAATCAAGATCACGCGAAGTATTAGTACCGCTTTACAAAACCCTAGTGAGACCACACCTGGAATACTGCAACCAATTTTGGTCACCATACTACAAAAAAAGATGTTGAGACCATGGAAAAAGTTCAGAGAAGAGCAACTAAAATGATCAAAGGCCTGGAGACTAAAACATATGAGGAACAGCTGCAGGTTTGGCTAGTCTAAAGAAAAGAAGAATCAGGGGCGACATGATAGCAGTATTCCAGTATTTGAGGGGCTGCCATAAAAAAGAGGGAATCAAACTATTCTCCAAAGCACCAAAGGGCAAGACAAGAAACAATGGTTGGAAACTGACCGAAGAGAGAAACAACCTGGAATTAAGGAGAAACTACCTACCAGTAACAGTGAGGACAATTAACCAGTGGAACAGCTTGCCTTCAGAAGTTGTAGGTGTTTCATCAAGGTTTTTAAGAAAAGACTGGACAGCTACCTGTCTAAAATGGTATAGGTTTTCCTGCTTGAGCAGGGGGCTGGACTAGAAGACCTCCAAGGTCCCTTCCAGCCCTATTCTATTCTATAATACAGGAAAGCTTATTCATTCTTGTCAACAGGAAGAAAAGGTCAATGGAACAATGTTTGAAGAATGTATTTATTTGCTTTTAGTGATTTGGTATTTCAGCTACTCTGTATCTCTTAAAAATGTTCATATGCCATATTATTTTCCCTCAACCTTCATGGCATTAGTATTGGCAGTTAGCATTAACGCACAATAAATAGTTCTTAAAAAGTAAGGATTGGAAGGGACATTGGGGAACATCTAATCAAACTTTTTGCCCAGTATATGAATCTACCATAGCAGTATTTCTAAACCTTGGCAACTTTAAGTTGTATAGACTTCAACTCCCAGAATTCCTTAGCCATCTTGCTGGTTGGGGAGTGTTGGAAATTGAAGTGCACACATCTTAAGGTTGTAAAGTTGAAAAAACACTGTATTACTGTATTACAACATCTCCAAAAGATGACCAAGAGGTTTCTATTCAAAAACTTCCAGCAAAGAGTCCATCATCTCTTGTGGCAATCTGTTCATTGTTGAACAGCACTTATTGCTAGATTTTTTCCCCCTGATGCCCAGCTGAAATCTGAGTTGTAATTTATATTCATTCTTTCTGTGCTGTCTTCTGAAATGTCTGTAAACAATTCTACCTCATCTCCTATATAACCCTTCTGATTACCAAGGACAGTTAATATATTTTCCTACAGTCCTCTCTTCTCTCTTCTCCAGTTCACATACTCAATGCCTCCAATCATTTTTTGCAAGTTTTTCCCCCCATGTGCTCCTTTGGACATATTCTAGTATCTATTAAAATGTGATGCCCAGATGTATGGTCTCAGTACAGAATATTACTATATTTCTGATATCATCTAGAGATTTAGTTGCTTTTTTGTAGCTAAATCACACTGTTGGCTTGTGTTCAGCTTCTGATTCACCAAGATACCCAGAATGTTTTCTCATGCACTTTTTCCACTGTTTCCTAGTATAGGAATGTACCCATTCATGTCAACCTAATGTAGAATTTTGCATTTCTCCCTGTTGAAAAATATACTGCCCATTTTACAGCTTATCAACATTTTCTTGAATCCTCAAACTATCCTTCAAAGGGTTTGCCATGTTCTCATCCTCATTATTGGTTTGTCAAGGTTACTTTGTTATTATTGTATGTGGCAACCTGAAGCTGCTCTCCACTGGGGAAGATGTCTGAATTGATATTTGAATTTTCTGTCTCATGGGTTTGTGATGCATGTAATGCTATTTTTTTTAATCTGAAATTCTTGAGCAGGATTTAAAGCTTGATCAAAAAACGCCATTACGTGTACTTCATCGGCGGCCACTAGCTGTCAGAGTTCGTGTCATCCACAGCATGCAGTCTGAGTACATAGATGAGCACCATTTCCGTCTTCACTTGAAGACACAAGCGGGGACGTATCCTTTCTGAAATGAAGTGCCTCATTGGGCAGGAATTCTGTACCGAGCTCTTCAATAAAATAATAGTATTAAATATTGAAGAATGAACATAAATCTTCAAGTATAATTTTCCTTGGGTCAGAAAATTGTGTGAAATACACATGACTCTTGTTCCTTTCTGTCTTTTTTCTCTATCCCCTCCCCTTCCCCCAGAAGATGGCATGCTCTCTTCTAACCCCACCCCCCCCCAATTTGCTATATCCTGTCATTTAGCCCTGGCTGTGTGTTTGAGAAAGAATGAGAAAGGGAGATGTGCATATTCTAAAGTCTTACTTTAAAATATATTCTAACAAGCTCATCTTTCTCGTTTCCTTAACGGCAAACTGTTAGTTATGTTAAAGAATTTGTACATGGAGATTTTGGTAGAACCAAGCCCAATATTGGTTTCCTGTTGGAGACAACTGCAGACATCTTTGAGCTGGATGTAGAGGTAAGTACTCCCTTTGTATGTCTCTGTAGACAGAAGGATGGAATTGCCACCATTGCTCTTTCTAGTAGGAAATTAAGGGACAAATCACAGAGGATTTGTTTCATATCTAGCAGAGTTTAATCTAATCTCTGAAATCTGTATCATTTCCTACAGCATCTCATCCCTCTTCAAAACTTTTCCTGTTAGACTGAGAGAGTGCAGATGTGGTTTTGCGTGTGGAGAATCACAGAGGCTCATTGGGCATACATTTGTAGTTTAAACTCCAGACTAGAGCATAACAATCAGATATCATCCCCAAGTTGGTTTTTAAACGGCTTTTCATCCAAGATTTTAAAGGCTAATTGGATGTTAACTTCAGGTATATTGTCACTTCAGCTTTCCCCAGTCTGGGAACATACAGATGTATTAACTACACTCGCCGTGGTGTTTGTGGTGGTTCCATTTTGTGGTGGTCCCATTGTCCCATACTTGGAAAACCAAGTTTCATCATTTGTAGTGAATCCATTATCTGAGGTTAGATATTCTGCAAACAAATGAGTTAGCTCTGGTTTAATTATTTTTCTTTATTTTTTTCCTGCAGTCTGTGGATGTTGACTGGCCACCAGCTCTAGACGATTAAGAAGCA